CACAGGGCTCTGTCTGAGCGCACGAAAGCTGCACACAAAGCAATCTGATTCATGCTGGATGCATACAGACACGCACAGGCAACCCAGTGAAAAGCCTTCTCTACATTGTTTCCAAACAATCCCAATCCAGCTCACACGTCAGCCGGGGCACCAGACACTTGGTACTTACAAGGGGGTTTGCTGTGTCCGTCTGCTGCCGGAGCCAGGACGGGGTGGATGCGGCTCGGAGGGAAGGTGCATGGAGATGTGCAGAGAGGTTCTCCTGCAGCGGGGCGAGAGGGATGGGAAGAAGGGCCCCAGCCCCTCTTTGGGCCCCAGAGCAGCAGCACTTGTTCACGGGATGGAGCGCAAAAAGGCTGGCATTCCTACAGCAGCAAGGACAATGGGGAGGGATGAGGAGGCACTGCCATAATCAAATGCAGGCCAGCTGGCCCTCCCCCAGGAAGGGCAGGCACCTCCTTCACTTGCCAAGGGCTTTGTTTTCTAAGCCACAAAGAACAAAGTGACTGAGGAGGAGAGCCAGAGGAGGAGGAGGAGAGCAGAGGAGAACCCGCTGTGGGGGTAGAACCACACGTGAGCACAGGTAACCCACTCCCAGAGAGATGAAAACACAGAAGGGAGAGAGGTCAGGTAACACTCTGCCCACTCCAAGCAGAGCTCAGAAGCAGCAGCTCCCTTCGTGCACCAGAGAAAAGCCAAAGATGACCAAGGAACAAGAATCAGCACAGGCTGATGGTCAGGGGTCCTTTGGGGGAAGAGATCCAAGGGTGTCAGACAGAGAACACCACTGAAGGAATGGCTTGTGGAACAGAATCCAAAGAAATCCCACCATGGGCCACCCTACCACTTCTGAACCAGCCTCACTCCACTAATCCTGAGCAGTGGGATTCTGAACAGCTTCATTCAGAAAGCAAATACAAATCAAGGGCTCAAGCTGCAAGAGGCTCCCAGGCTATGGCAGGGCAATGACCACACGTCCCCTGAGCACCAACGAAGCACCATCTTGCACAACATCCTGACAAGCAGGAAAAAGCCCCTGGAGCTGCCTCAGGCCCTCCTGTAATGATACAGGCAGTTCAGCTCTGGGCACCACATCACCACAGGGTACGCAGGTGCTGAGCCAGCCTGATGGGAGGCTGCCCTTTCTGGTTGGGTCAGTGCTTTCTTCCAGAGTGACTTCTGCCAGCAAGGATCGTGCACCTTTGCTCCCAACCTTCTGCAGGACTCGTTGTCATCCCAAGGCTGGCAGAGACCATGCTCTGTGCTCTGGCTCACTGGACAGTTCAAGTAGGGTGCTGCAGTCCCGACAGGGCACACGGCTCTCACACGGGCCATTCCAAACCTGCAGTCCAGGTAACCTGCACTTTGCTTATGGTAAAGGCAAGAGTGTGGGATACAGGAGTGACCTGAGAAATAATTTCACCCAAAGAAAGCTTGAGAAAGGAAAAACTATGAAGATTAATGAGACATCAAGGAGAGGGAAACCTGCTGTGGCTGCTCCTGGTCTTGATGGTGTACCTATGGCAGTGTTACTGTGAAGCCAGGATAGACAGCAGGAGAGAAGGGTACTGGGGACTGTCCTTGCAGGCACCCCAGAACAAAACACACATCAGTGCTTTTGGTACATCATACACACCCTTGCTTGCTCAGCTTCCCAGTTCTCCCCCAAAGCACTGTGTGGTGCCAGATCCCAGTGCAGTCTTGGAATTGAGTAAACAAGGGACAGCAGCCAGACCAGGCTTGAAGCCACAGGAAGATGGCAGGTCCCCGAATATGCCCACACTGAGTTTGTGGTACTGAAAAACAATCCTCCAGCCCACAGTCAGAGGTGGGGAAGGCAGCTTCCTTCTCCGCTCCTCCTGCCTCAGCCCAGCCATCACCCAGCCCCTGTCAGGCACCAAGGGCTCCTGCCGCAAAGGAAGCGAGGACAAATGGAAACATCCAGCTTGGCACCAGCCATGGCTCTGGGGAGGGAACCCTGCCAGCCCATGTGTAAGCTCCATGTGGTCTGGCCCAGCTCAGCCTGCCTCCTTGCAGGGAGCTCTGACAGGCCTTCAGGAACTGCCAAGCAGTGAAAAAACACAGTAGAGCGTCTTGACAGCCCATATGGGGTTGTGTTGTCCTGTTCCACGGTCTGTCCTGCAGCCACAGGCAGCGTCCTACAAAACGTTCACCCACCACACGCAGAAGGAGCAGCACAACAGAGCCTCCCATTCCCAGGAGGCAGGGAGGTACATGAGGGATGAATGCCACAATCCCCATGGTGGGAGCTCCACTCCCTTGGTGCATGCTGAGATGTTTGGAGAGCTGAGCTTGCCAGCTCATTACCATAGTGTACATTGCTTACGCATCCTCGGGCTTCTTCCCCAAATCCTGGGGTTTGGCACACTGCAGGCTCCTTACAAGAAGGAAAATCGAGGACATTGGTTATTGTAGACTCCTGCTGTTGATATCCCCTCAGATATTAGGGAAGAGAGAAGGGAGCTAGGCACACACTGACAAGATCGCTGCAGGAAGGTCAAAGCAGCTCAGCATCAGGAGAGTGAAATCAGTTTAGATAAAATCTGCTTACACCCCCCACCTCCCAGACCACACCACTGACTTTGCTTTGGGAAGGCAGAAAGTGTTCTGGAGATCAAAATCATACTGAAAGAACTTTCATACTGTGCAGCAATTCCTGCCCTGGTCCTACAGGCTGCAGGATGTATCCCCCTGCACTCCTGGTTTCAGTTGGCCACTGGTTCACAAGACACACACGGTATATTTATACCACCAGCATTGTTTATAGTTCTACTGAAACCAGTGAGATTAAAATCCTCCTTCCTCCCTAAGCCAGGTGCTCTTCCTCCACACCAAAGCAGTGTGCAAATAAACCATGCCACCACCATTCCATTTTCACTGGGGCAGTGCAGCATGAAAGGCACAACCAAGAGGGATGCTGCTGCTGCCAAGCATTGCATCCCACAGTTTTTATCCATCAAAAAGCAGCTGTCATGCTCTCAGAAAAGAAATGGGCCACTGCTGGGGTCTGTGTAGCATTTGTGCCCCTAGGAATGGCCCAGGCTTTCTGAAAGGCTTTGAAGCTGTAGAGGAACACACTGCTGTTGAGGCATGTCCAACTACCCTGGGAGCCCAAGAGCTACCACCCTGATGTAGATACCATGCCTGAACAGTGCATGGAGCAGCCTGGAGAAGAGAAGGCTCCTGAGAGACCTTAGAGCACCTTCCAGCACCTGAAGGGGCTACAAGAGAGTTGGAGCGGAACTTCTGACAAAGGCACAGAGTGACAGGGGAAGGGGAATGACTTCAAACTGCCAGAGGGCAGGGTTAGGTTGGATATTAGGAAGAAATTCTTCCCTGTGAGGGTGCTGAGGCCCTGGCACAGGTTGCCCAGAGAAGCTGTGGCTGCCCCATCCCTGGAAGAGTTCAAGGCCAGGTTGGATGAGGCCCTGAGCAACCTGGTCTAGTGGGTGGCATCCCTGCCTATGGCAGGGGAGTTAGAACCAGATGATTCCTTTAAGGTCCCTTCCAGCCCAAACCATTCTATGGTTCTATGATCACGTGCTACAGTCCACATATGTGCTCCAGAGACTTCCAGCTTTGGCTGGGTGGGTTCTTACAGGACCAATGTTTGGCTCGATCACAGAACTGCCAATATGCCAAGCATGGCTTGCTGCTTTGTGTGTCTCAGCTTCTCAGAAGAAACAGGATAAACCCCACCCTTCTCAGGATCCTTCCCAGGATCTCCTGTGATGGCAAGGCGTGTTCAGGGACCAGAGCAGCCCCTGAATGCCTGTGTTCAGTGAGGAAGCAGAGCACAGGTTCTTGCCATTCTCCTGTGGCACAGGAAGCACTTTTCTTTCCATTTAGGGGGGGAAAAATTACACATTCTCACAGCAAGATGGTCTCCCACCTGCACAGCAAACTGCAGAGATGAGCCAGAGCAGACCTGCAGAGCATCACCAAACAAACTCAATCCTCACATGCCCTGACAGCAGTGTTCCAGGCTGCCTTCTCCACTTTCCTGCCTCACACAGGATGCTTCTCCATGTTTTCATGTTTAGCTGAATTTCCTCCCCCCTCCCCTGAGCACTTCTGGCTGCCAAGGCAGCTCAGAGACAGCAACTAAGTGGCACCTACATCTGGTACAGCTTAACTTTTAGTGTCTGTTCTTTATGGAATTCGAGAACTTCAATACCCAATGTTTGTACAAGTGTGGAATAAATGAAGCACAGGCTCCCTGGCCTTCTGTGCTAGCCAAAGCTGTATTTTAAAATGCACTTAGAAAATCCTACTGCTTATTCATCTGCAACTTTAAAAATTAAAGAACATCAAACCCAACTGCAGGTCTGCTGAAGGTTTGCATTAAACCAAGCTGGTGAAGTCAGGCACTCAGTCACCACACGCATTCTCTCCTCCTGCTTCCCAGATGCCTGGGATGACCCAGTCCCCTTGTTCCCTCAGCCACACTTCCCAGCACCCCATTCTGGTACTCCATCTCCTCAAGCAGGCCTCCACAGGGGAGGAGCTGGGCTGTATTCAGGACTGAAGAGCAGGGTGCTAATCCTGGTGGGCCAACAGGCTGAATTTTCCAGTGTGTAAGGATACAGCATGAACAAAATGCAGGCAGCCCACCCTGGTACGGTGGCCAAGACTGGACGTGACCAACCAGTCTTTTGGCCCTTGTCATCACTGCCATGATCCTTCTGTCCACCGGGGCCATGAAAGGGGTTTAAAAGCTCCAGCTCAGACAGCAGCAAACCTCTGTGTTTAACAGATGTGGACATTTTCTGAAATACACCCCCTCGCCTTCTTCCACACACTGTCTTGAAAAAAATCACTGCTGACACATGAGCGTGAGGGAACTTTTGCAGGTTATAGATCCAGCTCCCTATTGGAGCAAACACACCATTTCACACCCTTCATACAAAACCCAGCTCTGGACTGAGTCCAAGCAGGCTTTTTACACCCTCCTCTGTGCAGCAGATGCCTTGTCTTACCTTGTCAAAGAATTCGTACAGCCTGACCGTTTCACAGATTCGGTGCCTGGTTTCATCCAGCTCAGTGCAGAACTCCTCCAGCTGATCTCTGTAGGTCTGCAGCTTTACCCTGTAAGAATGCACATCCACAGAGGAAAAGTCTTCCCATCGATCCATCTTCTTTAATGCTTCCTGTCCCCTTTTGCAATATTCCTGAAAACGAAATCGGATTGCATGTGAGGACTGAGACCAGACATGGACAGCAGGTAGTCTTCAAGGTCATTAACAACTAGGGCTAATTAGATGGGGTTTTAAGGTTCAAATCACATGAGCAGGGGTGTCTTTGTTTACAGTAGAATTCTGGAGCCCTGATCTCTTATGAGTTACACCAGTCACAGAGCAGCTTGTAAAGGCCTACACAGCAAGGGCCACGGGTCAATTAAGATCAAAAAAGGCTGTTACAAGCACATCAAAGGAGTAACCAAAAAATCCATCTTGCATCCCGCTAGTTATTTTCCCCAAGACTGCCAAATGCCATCTACTAAGGTGTTGAGCTGGTGGCTTTTCCTCCAAGAGGAGAGCAAGGATGCTGAGTAGTGTGAAGAAATGACACACACCTTGGTGATGAGCCCTCTTAGCATCGTGGGTTTGGCTGAGCACGTACAAGACACACGTTACCAACTCAGACACTGGAGAATATATTTTTCCAATCAGACAACACTTACACTGGCAACAAGATCAAACTCCTTGAACTGCTTTTGCGCTTGAAGCAGCATCTCCAAAGAATCATCCAGGTTGACAGTTTCCTTTAGCCCTTTTCTGCCAACATTCTCAATCCAACTGCTGACCTAGGAGAAAAGGGATAAGCCCCATTATTAGTCACCCTGTGCTACTCACCAGTGTAGGCCTTTATGTGGAAAGAGCAAGGAACTGCTCTCATAACACTGGTCATCTCATTACTGGAAAGAATGTGTGTGTAAGACTGCTCCCCCCATCCAAGCCTTTCAGTCTGAGCCTCCTGCTAGGAGTTTTTCCACTTCAGGTTACAGAGTAATTGCAAAGCTCTGCTGTTGCTCACTAGCCTCAGGCATAAACAGGGCAAGCAGCTGCTTGGGCTCTGTTTCGGGTGAGCCATGGTCTAATGTGAGCTCTGAACCTGCAGACTGGCCCGACATTCCTATTATTGTTACCCCCAACTGGGATCAAATCTCCCTGCTGCCAGATTTCCTACATCACTTCCTTTTTCTGACTGGCAGCACATGAACTACGTCACTGGGGGGTACTGATGGATTCTCCCCATCTGCAGTGTTCCACAGTTCTCTGGGGCTCTCAGATACTGGTTTTTTGAAGGCAGCTCTCCACAAATCCCAGCAGCAACTGCAGGTTCCTCAATGGAGGGTGGCCACTGCTGCACTTATCAGCCTATATCCTCAAATAGGGGTAGAGGACTGACTAACGAGACCCTCCTAAAAGCAAAGCAGTCCCAGGAGGCCAGGCAGGATAACACAGCATCTCCATCATCAGTGGGTTTTAAAAACAGGCTGGTAAACTTGTCTGCAATGCTCCAGGCATAGCTGCACCTGGGGGAAGGGACAGACTAAGTGTTTCCTAACGCCCACTAAGTGTTTCCTAACGCCCAAGCATCCTGTTCTCCTGTATCATCTAAATTCATACCCCAACTCAACTGCACAGTCCAGGACAAACTCCTAGTCTTGTACCCACAGAACAAGCCCACTGGGGTGGGTTCTCAGCACTGCAGAGAGACACACTGCTGCTGCCTAGAGCTCCTAGGCAGGCTTAAAAGTGGGAGCAGCTGCTGCCATCATTAGTGATCTGCAAGAAACGTAAGCTGGGAACAGTCGGTGTTACTCAACTGAATAAAAAAAAGAAGTTCAACTTAAAGCAGGGACAGGTTGCAGAGCCTGCCTTTGTGCCTTTTTTATATTTCTGCCTGGTATTTAGGAACCTATATGTTTCTAAGAGAGTCTCTACCAGGTTCTTGCATCACACTTCTTGTCCTGAGCACACACTGCATGGCGCCCGAGTGTCTACCTCCAAATGGGAAGTCATTAAAACTCCTGGATCCACCTCAGCCTGTGAAAACAACAGGTAGGCTACAGGCTCCTTTGCAAATCCAGTTCTCTCCAGAGGAGAGGAGCCCAGAATCCCAGAAGAGCAATGGTGAAATGGGTCCTAATACTGATTTTTAAGGACACATGAACCTTCGCAATGTTGATGAGCTGCAGCACAGGAAATGGTGTGACTCCATAATCTCATGGTTGATTTCAGGCTTAAGGATCTGCAACACTGAAAGACTGATTAGCTCTTGTAGGACACTCAGACCTGGGCTACTCTATGACTTTTTAAGGTTCTCTACCTACATGGTTTCAGAGGTCTTTCTGAAAGCCAGTGCCTGTTTGCTTCAGTTATGCCATGGCTGTAAAGAGCTTCAACAAGCACCATATGAGGGAAGTCAAAGGTCTCACAGCAGTGCAGGGGGGGTTGAGCACGGCTCCTGGGCTAAGGACAAGAGGCTGTTTCCTGCCTGGAGACTGTACACAGGGCTGTACCCAAAGGCAAACCAATCTGCCTGCGGCTGCACCCAGAGGGGAAGGAGTGTGCCTGGGCTTATCAGGTATCAGGGACCCGAGCACAGCACAGGAATCTAAACAACAGAGTGCACTGCAGGGATGGGCAGCTAGTGTGGGGCACGCTCATTCAGCAAACCCTGCAGGACATATGGCCCAGAGGGGACACACAAGTTCTTAGCATCAGCTTGTTGTCATAGCTCTGCTGCTTCTCAAGGTGAAGCATGAAGAATGGCTCACCAACAGTCTTGCTGGGAGGGTCAAAAAAAGACACCCACCAGTATGTGGTGCTTACTTATGAGCCACCTCACAGATGCTTATGGGGTTTGACTGGTCCGCACCTAGAGAGAAGCCAGGAGACTTTTACCTGGCATCAGGAGATAACAGGCAAAACAGTGGGTTTGTTCTCAGCACGTCTGAAAACTCTATCCCAAATTCTTATGTTCAGTTGTTCTTTTTAAGCATCTCCAGGCACCACTGTACACCTCCACACAAGGGAGGTCCCCAGTTCCTGCTGTGGGACACGGTGTTGCAGGGCAGCAGCAGGCAGCCACTGGAACTGACAGGCAGGCCTTACCTCCTTAAAACACTCTTCCACTTTCTCAAACTCCATCACCAGCTCCAGTTCCTGGATGCGCTTGTTTGACAACATCACCAGTCGGTGAACGCCCTCATCAACTCGATTATAGAGCACGCTGGCAGCATCCAGGGCATCTCTGGAAGGGGACACAAGTCTGGTCAGGGGTTTTGCATTAGGTCCTTCCCCCAGCACTTCATGCAAACATGACCTGGCTAACAGCAGTGCTGCACTCATCCTCCCCGTGGGGCCCACAGTGGCCATCTCCATATGGAGAACACAGGAGAATATTGCTGCCCCTTGCACATTGCTGTGATTCAACACTCTGATCCCAATGCAGACAACCTGGCAGGAAGGACAAGAGCATCTCCTCCCAGTTGGGCTCCTTGCAAAATTTACCATACTTGCCACACTTTTCAGCTTTTCATAAACACAGATTATTTGCATCAATGGGCTTTCACAAAACACAGGGTCAGGCAGTCTCAGCGTCTAAAACCACCATTTGGATTTAATTAAAATAAGTAAATAAGCAATCACTAGTAAGCAAATCTTTCCCGAGTGACAACAACAACATAAAGCGCCCAATGCCCCACTCACTCTCAGGATTTCCACCAGCCAAACAAAAAGGCAAAGCGTCCAACAGCCCAGCACCAAGTGAAATGGGATTTGATGATGTTGTGGTGGAGATTCACAGCCTGAGCTCCCTGTCTTCCCCAGGCAGCTGTGCTGATCAAAGCCCAGCAGGGAACAGCAGGCGGCACTGTCCCTGCTGGGCTGCCCACAGCAGGGTTCACACCCTCCGTGCAGAGCACAGGTAGGGATGGAGGGGTTTGGGAAGAGCCCAGTGCCCTCAGATGCTGGAGCCAGGGATCTGGCACATCCTGGTTAGCTGATGAATGTTAGCAAGTTCCACTTACATATGTGCAACACCTCTCCAGCACAGGCTTGGGTGCATTACAGATGGGATCCAGGAGACAGAAGAGCATTCAAGCTGATTCTTCTGCTTCAAGATTTTCGCCCCTTTTACAATTATGGGCTCAACAAAACACTACAGCCTCCTTCAGCTGTGCTCTACACCAGCAGGTTCAGCTGCCTGTTCATCTCCTGCACTTACCCTAAGCTTTCATTCTGCAATTGCCTTACAACCTTCTGACTTATGAGAGCACAGCTTTTTTATCATATTATTAAAATTATCTAAAGCCCTTGCAATACTGGTAGCTAATACTGCTAATGGAAATGAATTCAAAGCAATTCAGCATACATATTTATTTCTGTGTTGGGTTACAGGCAATCTTGAACCTATGAAAGGCAACTGAATACGAGCATTTAGTGGCAGACATCCTGTAGTTTTTATTTGTAGTATTTAATTGACACAAGGTAGCGCAATAGGTCTGGACAACTAGCTCTGCATAGCAGAAATCCACACTATTTTTCCATTCAGAATTCCACCCAGTGTGCAACGGCCAAATTCTCAAACCTCAGGCTCCTGGATACTTTTGTTTTTCCTCTCTGAAATGCCATTAGACTGAATGAATTCCTCCAAAGTGCAGCCAAAAATACCCGAATTGTTTCTGGACTAAGATCAGTGCTACTGCAGTGCAGAGCAGACAGGTTCTCTACAGAGAATCCACAGGCTTCAATGGAAAGATCCTCTCTGTAACGCTGCTCCCACATTTCCTGAAACCACCATAAACAAACAGTGATGATATGAGCCTTCTGTTTCGTAATCCTTTCCTAGGGATGGACCCAGATCCAACCCAGGGGACTCGCAGCAGCAGAGCCACAACCATTGTCCAAGCTGAGCTCTGGAAAGTGTGTTTACAGAGCAGGTTGTGGAGGCCAGTTCCCGTCAGCAGCAGTGACACAGCTGGGACAGCTAATGAGAAACAGCTTGGGAGATGGCTGGAAGTTAAATTTGGCAACACCATTAACACTGCTGGGTTTCGTGCAGCAGAGCGTAGCTGTCAGGTCCCAGTTTCTGAGTAAGGCTCCAGCACTCTGACGGCCAGACAGGCAGACACCCTTCGGCCTCACTCCCACGAGGCTCAATTCCCTGCTGGCATGAATGCTCTCATCCACTCAGGAAAATACATGGATACAGCAAATGCTCTTCCTCCCATAGGCACAGACAAGCAAGCACCTATAACTTTAGGCATTCTGGGCTGTTACATGCAAACATTTGCAATTATCCTCTCACGAGGCAAAGTGTTTTCAAACCTTTCTCTGAGCTTCCACGGGAATCATTTTGGTGTTGATGGTACTTCTTTGATGTCGCTCATCAGCAAACTAGATTGACCTGCTAGACCTTTCTGTAATGGGAGTCCTTCTGTCCACCCAAGCCCATGACCAAACAAGGATGTGTGGCTTCAGCACTCAGCGAGGTATCGCCGGATGGTAACTTATGGTGCAGGGACTCGAGGCAAGAGTTCCAGCTCTAACATTGGCTGATCTAGCACAGAGCGTGATCTGATACAGGGGAAGGGAGCCAGGGACTCCCACTCCACCCCTTTCCATGCCTGATGGAGGAAACAAACCCCCAGCTGCCTCAAATATGAGTAGTTTTCCTTGACAGCAGTCAGTCACAACCTCGGCTCCAAGGCCCTAACAAATACTACAGATTCTCACATAGCAGAGAGCATGTTTCCTAAAGTCACAAAACATCAGCTTTCCTGAAGACAACACCATAACTATGGGGAAAAAGAATCATCCTCAAGGTAGAGGGATAGGAAGCGATTATATTAAAAAAAAACAACCACAACACATTTCAAGTATTTTTTTTTATAAAGAGATATAGGCCTGCCACAAGGTCACTGGGTAAAGAGGTGAATTTACTGTGCCATTGTGGACAAGACTGGTCCCTTGGAGCACACTTGAGATCAGTATTGGCCTTATGTCCAGCAAACCCCTCCAGGGAAAGTCAGGTTCAAAACTGCAGCAATAAAATACTCCCACTGGCCCACCCACCAAGTACTTCAGGAGAAGGGTCTAGAGAGAACTTCTCAGTGCTGAGCTGAATGACTGAGAAAAATCCAAAGAGCACTCTTCTGGCCCCACACATGCCTTCCACAGAAGGAATTATCCCATATTACTGGAAACACAGGAAAAATAAAGAGCCAGACCCTGAAGGTCTCAGTATGACCAAGTCTTCTGTGCACTTGCAGCAGAGGGGAGGGAGCTCCAGTTCAGAAGTGAGCACTCAGCCCTTTGCCCCATGGGATGTAATCCCTGTCTCAGCAAATACTGCAGCAGTGACAGATCTACACATCTACACACACTCAGTCATCTGCCCTCTAGCTCAGCTGATTCAATGGTACTAACAGTGACATCCTGATGCAGAACACACACACAGAAAACCTTTCCTTTACTAATCCATAGGCATCTCAAACTTACCTGGAGTCAGTCTAGGATGCATTTGGGAGTTTATACCGTAAGCAGGGACTGGCCAGAGAATTCATTTCAGAAGAGGGCTGGAAATTAGCTCTTACTTTTATCTGTAAGTTGGGTTGTTTAGGTATATGTATAATCAAAATCCCTTTCTCTTGTCAATTAACTGATTTTGCTCTCTGTTCTCTCACAGCAGGCTATTGATACCCTTATCAGGCACAACCCAACACTTAAAGGCTGCCCCTTTTCATGGGCCTGCCAATGGTTTCCTGAGCAACTGCACACAAGACACACAGAAATAAATGTTTCCAAACAACTCCTCTGGGCTCAGAGCCCCAGAGGGACTTCAGGTGTGGCCTTACACCACTCCTCCTCCTCTTTGAGTTCCTTCAGCATCCCAGCACCTCAGTCCTTTGTTTCAAGGACCAGCCATGCTGTTTTCACACGTTCTGCCTCGCTTGGCAGGCATTCATTAAAACCTCAATGTCTAGTTGTTGGTCTTCTGTTGCATCTCCAAGGTAACTGCATTCATATGTTGTCAGTCCCCTGACAGTTCACTTTTACCAGCCCAACAGGCTCTCTGAGTAACATCCATCTTTTACTCTCTTACACAGAGGAAAATATAAGCCTTTCCACCCTGTAGTATAAAGTAGGTAGGCAAACTGAGCCAAACAAAGAAGTCACTCACAGTCCATGGGAAAGTTTGTTTTTTCGATTCACTTGGGCACTTCCAGTGCTCACAGACAGTACCCATTGGGCATTAAGCATGTTCTCCCAAACCTCTCCACATCTGTTTATCCATTTGCTGATCTAGATCTTAAAAACTTCCTAAATGATTTCCAGTATACTAGTAAACTCCACTGTATCCTGCAACAGGGAGTTTCATGGGAAAAAATGACACTTTGCACAAATACCTGTTTCTTTTTCAGAGTCAGACTCGGGAGTTTTTCATTCCTGTCCATCACTGCCTTCAAGGCAGCTTGGAGTAAACAAACCAAATATTGAAAATTTGGTTGAAGAAGAAAAAAGTGACTTCCATCCTGCCACACAAAGGAAACACCTGGTTGTTAAGAACCTTAAAGATATTTTAATAGTGGCCTGTGCAACTCTGAGGACAAAAGGCAGAGTTGTTTGAAGTCAGTGGAAAGTCTCGTCTAAGCTCAGATTTGAGTGGAAGTATTGCAATTTCCCTGCACATGGGAGTGTGGTAATAAGAGTCTTTCGCTACATTCTTCCATGGTCAAATCATCAAAAGTAATTTTGCAACAGTGCAGAGTCAATATAATTTATAGCAAAAAGGAGTAGCTTGATGTCAGTTTATGTTTCCCCAAATCCTGTTTTCATTGGGCAATTATCGTTTCAGTGGAAAAGGTTCCAAACGTCTTCAGTTTTCTGGAGAAGCGCCAAGCTGTTGTATAATGGTAGGGTAATTTTAAACCTATAATTTAGAAAGGCCATTTCTGTCTGAATCCATTCTTCAAAGAGGCCAGCCTTGGAGAGTTACACTTTATTTTTCAAAGCAAAATACCTGTTTTGTTTTCAAAAAATAGATGCCACAAAAGAGTCACAAAAGCAGGTGCTGCATGAGCCACGTGTGCCGATGCCAGAGACACACAAGCAGGAGATGGCAGGGAGGGGAGCAGCAGAGCCATTACTGTTCTGCACTTTCCACCCCTGGAAGAACTGCCCTAACCAATAGCAAGAACTACAGATCTAACAAGAGGGGTCATCCTCTGACCAGCCCTGGTCAATTTT